CGTGTGTTCAGTGCGCCCACCACAGCCCCAGTGCGGCCAGCCAGCCTGGCTGGCTGCTGCATCATGCTTCCCAGCTGCCTTCCTGGTGCTGAGCTCACCGCGGGCAGGCACATTTCAGGGAAACAGCAGCCACGGGAAGCCTGGGAGATGCTGCATCCTGAGGGCTTTTAGCTGGGAAGCAGGAGGAGGGTACAGCCCCGGGGGTTGGTTGTCGTGGTGCTTGAGGAGCTTCTCTGGAGCTTTTGGGGAGTGATCAGGACCTGGGGAGTGATCAGGACCGGTGCTCTGGGGGTGCAGACTTTGTGGAGCCAGGGGCCGTGCTGGAGCTGCTTCCAGTCGGATCCCGGGCAGGTTCCAGCAGGCTGACTGGGAGGAGGCTGCGGGTGGCAGAGGAATGGGAAAAATGAGGCAAACAAAGGGCTGGCAGCACAGCTTGCAGCAGCCACGGAGCCGGTGCTGGGGACCACAGCAGCTCCCTCCAAGCCTGTCTCCATGGGGGGACACGCAGCTTCCCCAGCCCCAGCATCTTCCCACACCTCCCCTGGCATCTTGCTGCACAGACACACATCCTGCCCCTGCTGCTGCCCGGAGGCAGGAAGGGTGTTTCTGGGGATGTGGGTCCTGCTGCCATCACACCAGTGCTCCCAGCACACTGCTGGCCAGCTGGGACCATCCCCAAGGGTGCCCACACCAGTGGATCCCTGGTGGGATCCTGGAGTGGATCCTCCAGTGCTTGGGAGAAGCCATCCAGCATGGTCCTCAGGACACTGCCTTACCTCAGCTCCCCTCCAGATGCCCTGGCCAAGGGCTGGGCAGATGCCTCAGCAGGCTGTGGGTGCCACCAGCCCCTCGAGGCCAGGCTGGAACAATAGGTCATTCCGCTGCATCCGCTCCAGGAAAGTCCCTTGTCCCCCACTCAGGGCTCAGCTCCAGGATGGCGTGGCTCCCTCTTCCTCTGGCCTTCCCTTCACCTTGGATGGAGGTGCACGTGATGGGATCCCTGGCACACGCATCCCTGCCCACGGGGGGCAAGAGCTGGCACCCACCCTGCCTGCTGCACGGCCGAGGCTGCCATGGAAAGCCCTCAGAGATCCCCAGGGAATGTCCCTGCCTCCCCCAGTGTCCCGGGGAGCAGCCACCTTCCCTGCCTTTGTCTGCCCAGCAGGCTGTGCAAGAGTGGGAGCACGAGGGGCTGCCTGTCCCACCTCTTGAGCTCTGTGTGGCTCCCCACAAAGGAAGCCGGGATATCTTTCTCCTCCTGGAGCCTGGCCAGATGGCCCTGGGAAAAGCAATTCCTCTTCCATGGGAAAGTCCTGCGAGGAGAAATCCCTGCTCAGGCCAGGCCAGCCCCACAGCTCCCCTGGGCCCTGCAGCTCTGGCGTGTCCCCAGGGCTGTGGGGCTGAGCA